GAAGCATAATAAGACTGCATCACCCTCAAGCTCTATGTTTTCTCGCATTCTAGTTCAAATTTTAAAGGCTTTGTAGGTGTGCTCAAGTCTAGCTACACCTATGCAGAGAATTGTCCGATTTATTGAGTCCTCCAAGCTCAGAATTAAGAGGAAGGGTGCATCATGTAGCCATCAATTACCTACTAGTTTGTCAGTCTTCCCACCTATATCCCATATAGTAGTTCATCAAAACAACACAAAAGAGCAGTACTCTGCATCATGTATTAGGTTCATGACAAATAGCTGACACTCTGAGAATCTAAGACTCTGGTGGATCTTTCCTGCAAGGAAAAGACAACAATTCCACCAGCAATGGTCTCATCCAAACTCTAAGTTTAAATGTGGTTGGATAACAATAACACAGCAATGCTTTTGTAGACATACTTCTCACCTTGTCCTCCACAGGAGCATCATATGAAAATTGAGGCACTAGGGAATTGCTAAAGGGCCATGCTTAGGAAATCATCATACTGCACTCCTCCCTTCACTTTATGGAAAAGGAGAAAGGTGTAGCTATTATGCCAAAGGGGGTCTTCTATATTTGACGTGTGGTAGTATTACAGCTTTGTACATGTATTAGATTGGAAAAATAAAACACTATTACATAACAAACAAACATCCATCCAATCAGATACACAATTTGTTGCAACTTCAGAAATATCAAATTAGTTAAGGGAGCCGTAATGGAATTTAAAATTTAATAATAGCAGAAGTTTTATACCACTTGAAAAGATGGTTAAACACCAATAGAAGGCACAACAACTCCTGATTTCCAGTAAATGAATTTCCTAAGATCACTGTTCAAGGCACAAGAAATGACAAGACGTGTATTGATTGCTAACCTGAATTCTTCATCAATTTCATTCAAATGTCGTGTTGCATTTCGATGCTCTTTCTCAAGAAGTGGAATAATCAACGGAACACTATTTATGTACCTGTATACAGATTGATGTCAGATACCAGATGAGAAGATTAAAAGTTATAATATGATTAGAGTTTAATTAAAAAAATCACTAACCTCTTCTGTAGCAACTCTTCTAAAAACAGTCTCAAGCTGCTTATGCCTATTCTGCTCCTTTCTTGCTTTGACAGTGTCCTTCCTAATTTCTCCTCCAAACACGAAATATCTTCCACCTCTCTCAAGCTAATAGCCTGTGCAGTTTAGTAAGGAAATCATTGAAATTAGGTGAACAGAGCTATAAAAAAGAATGAATCCCCACTCCGGCACTCCATAATCAGTGGAACAATCTAAGAAATATGTTAAGCACCCTGGCTGGTTCAAGAACATGGCCAAAGCACATAGACCATCCAAAATATGAATGGCAAATCAGGAACTTAATAAAGGATAGCTCATGCAAAACACTTACAAGTATAGAATCAATTTTCAACTACTAACAACCAAATTTATATGTAAATAGATTTAATAAACAAAAATATTTAATATACATGAAACAATTTTTTGGACCTGCTTAAACAGCACACTACTAATTATGAAACTCCAAATCAGAACCAGCTTGAGATTTTGAGAAGTGATCATTGATGTGAAGAAATAACATTATATGTTAGCAGGTGAGAACTTTAGAAGTGCCAGGACAGGATCATTGGATGGGGAAAAATCATTTTCAAGTTTTCAGTCGTATATATCACAACAGGCAATGATAGAAAAATTAAACCATCTGCATACTGATTCTGAACAAGTTTTTTTTTAGAAAAAAAAAATAAACAAATAATAATAATAATAATAATAATAATAATAATAATAATAATAATAATAATAATAATAATAATAATAATAATAATAATAATAATAATAATAATAATAATAATAATGATAACCTTTTTAAACTCGTCATTGGATCTGTAAACAGAATCAGGGGATGAACCCACTCTCCCAGATGGTACTGATGTGAAAAATGGAGAGTCACCCAATATGAAACCATCTAGGGTACAAGCTGGTGGAGAGAGGAAAACTTCAACATCAGAAGCACGTGCAAATTGTGGTATTTTCGTATCAAGCTTTGTTGATACAATTACAGTCCTTGATAGCTCTGAATCAACCTGTATGCATTTAATCACCGAAGAAAAGTATTCAGTACAGAATCAATAATTCTGGTCAAGTACTTCGCATGGATGATGTAAAACCCTAATCAGTGCACAAGCAGTTCAACAGTGCACTAATATTCTTCAAGACTCAAATGTAGAAAGATATCCATTAACAAGATTTTGCTAAGAAATGAATAATAGTTATCAAGGAAAAAAAAACCAAAAAATCTAAAAGAACACCTCTAATACATACTTGCATTACCACCCTTCTCGTAGTCGCAATGCTCCAATCACTACAGTCTTCGAGGCATAATATTATGTACTCCTTGTGCTGCATTTTAGCCCGAACCAGTGACTCAACTGCTGCAGCTTGAGCCTGTCAAAGATCACCATCACCAATTAATTTGAAGACAATACAGAGATCTAACTCTTATTGGCCAGATGATGGACCTGCAACGAATGAATCTTTCGAGCTGGAGCTGGAGCAATGAGACCTGGAGTATCTATAATGGTGAGGTTCGGACAGTACTTATATTCTACTTTAATGATTATTTCTTTAGATGAGAACTGGCATGGTTCACTCTCCAGCCTCATGTTCTCTGCTTCAATGAATGCCTGCAAAAGTAAAAATAATTGAACTACTCATATGACCAATATGTCAAACCTCAAACCAGGATCCTACAGTCTGAGATGCTGGGCAACAATTGCAACTCTAGTCGGCAGTCGCCAGCCATATATAAGTATGTAACAACTAAAATAAATAATAGAAACAGCAATTCAATTTTGCAGTGACTCCCACAGTCGCACTATCCCACAGCTTCTTTTGGAAAACAGACAACTTAAACCGGGTCCTGTTGATTTAACCCAATCATCTACAAGCAGGATACAGCAATCCAGAGTAGTTAATCCCCGTCATAGTAACAATATCAATACTTTTAAGTAGCACGATACCATCCCCCCTAAATCTATCATCAAGTATGAACTGAAATGGGTAATGGTGTGTCTCGCATGAGTAAAGATTAGCACGATACCATCCCCCCTAAATCTATAATCAAGTATGAACTGAAATGGGTAATGGTGTGTCTCGCATGAGTGAAGATTGACATGTATCAAAGCCAGACATATTCTTCACTAGCTTACATATGAAATGAAAACATGGTAAACAATCATAAACTCTTCAAAAGGGGAAAATATGACAGAAAAAAATAAATTGTTTCTTGAAAAAAATACAAAACAAATGAAAAAAAGTTAATGCAGCTTTCAGGCAGCATAGCGATTCGTACTATCAGAAAAGTTTGGCATTACCCAACAAGCATTCTGGCAAAGTAACTTCTCATTATGCTCCCCAAACTAAAGCAACTCATATAATAACAAATCAGAATCATTAGGAAATTGTGCTTCAAACATGTATTAGTAAGTACATTATAACTACCTGAAAATATGACAGCATAAATTTCACTACACTACAAAAAGCAATAAAAAAAACCCAAATGAATAACACATGCACTAAACTCATCCATCCACAAACCCTCCTGAAAAATGCTAACACCCAATTACATGCTCAGAATTATGATGTATTTCATTAAACAACCCAAAATCAACACGAAACCAAACACAATCACGACCCACTTACCCAAATTGCCACCACTAAAATCCAATCACAAACAAACCCTCATCTAAACATAAACAATAAAACACCTCCATTCAAAATTCCAACACATAACAAAATAATAAATCAATGAATAACCAAAATAAACCTGAATTGCTTCAAGAGACTTCTGATCAACAACAGTAGAATCAGAATGATTGACAAGAAAACAAAGAGGGGATTCACAATCAGGGTTATACTTCATGTGAAGAGTAATGGGTCTTCGAGTTTTGGTCCCACCACCAACATGATTAAATTGAAAACCCATTAAAGCTTCAACCAAAGCACTCTTTCCATCAGTTTGATGACCCACAACAAGAATTGCAGGAGCTTCAAATGGGGTTGAGAATTCTTGTGCTAAACCATGAAGTTCGTTGAATGCTTCATATAATCTCCATTGTTCCTCCATTTTTTCTCTCTCTTTTACTCCTGCAACTGCTGCTTTTTCCTCCATTGTTGCGCAAAAGCTTGATTTGTAATTTTGTGTGTGAAAGTAATTTGAGTGTTGTAGTAGAGTAGCAGGAATATGAAGGGTTGGATTTTGTTTTATAAACCTGTTTTAAGAGAAAGGGCTTCATTTAGAAAAAGGAGGTATCACGTGTAAATGTGTGGTACTGTGTGGTTTTAATTTTTAAACTAGTGTGTGGTCGAACGATGTTCCGAATTACTAGTTTATAATCATCTTGAAAATTTAATATTTGAAAAAAAAATTGTATTAGGAAAATCATATTCAATATTTTGTATGTTATTGTGTATGATTCAAATATATTCAACTATTGACTAATTAACAAAAAAATTCTTATTTTTCATCAAATCAAAAGAATTACAATTTTTCAAACTTCAAAATTAAAGTTGTTAAATTATCCTAGGATATGTAACATATAGTACAATTAAAGACTAATCATCTTATCTAAGTTAACTATAATTTTGTTGGGTAAATTGACGCAATATATGGAATATGAATAGCTAAGGTGGTAAGACTTGTATCGTAATAATTGTTGGTCTCGAGTTCAAGTCTTGCTATAAGCATTTTTTACATGTCAAATCTAATTCATGTTGTGGAGGTGACGTGGGATGTTTATAGTCTTTAAAGAGGTGACACGTGACATAAATTGAAGGCTTAACGTGTTTATAGAGCTTAAGAAAGGTGACACATGAGGCTGTCTAAAGGGAGTCTTGATATGCATGAACATCGAACAAGAGGCAATTCTATAAATTCGCACGGTGTAGTGGAAATCCACCTCATTTCCCGTTATGCTTGCGTATTTGGGCGAAATGTACAGCTTGCCTTGTCTTCGTATTTCGTATTTGGTCACATGCAAATATATTAGTAAGGCCTCACTCTCTCTCTTCCATTTGACTCTCTGTCTTCCCTCTATATTCATTCAAACTCTTTCTCTCTTCCAGTAAGTATTCTCTCTTTATTCCCTCTACCTTGACCATCTTTCTGAAGTAGTTTCTCTATATTCCCTCTATCTCCATCGTCGTTTTGGTTCATGGAGAAATTTAAGCTTTGTTTCTGGGTTTGCCGCTTGGAGAATTGAAGCACTCTAGGCGAGTTATCGTGAAGATTTTGACGAAAGTAAGTAAATTTTTCATAAATTTATAATCTTTCCCCAAATTAATCAAACAATTTTAGTATAAGAACTTTATCAAACTTAATTTCAATGTAATCGTTTGATCCAAATTGAGTTTGGATTTGTAAAATGCGGATGTATTAGGGTTTAAGGCGGGGGCTGTGGTGTATTTGATATTCGAAATCAGGGTTTAAGAATTATTTACAATTTGATGATTTTAACGCCAGTTACAATTGTCCCCCAAAATTTTTAGGAAATCTATAATTGAATTTGTTCCTGTGTGCAATTTGATTGTTAGGGTTTCTATAATTGGTGTAGCGGTGTATGAGAAAACAGTGTTAGTGTATAAGAATTATGTACAATTTGATGATTGTAAAGCCAATTTATAATTTTTCCCAATTTGTGAGTTATGGTTTTTAAAATGCTATTACGGGGCTTGTGATTATAAAAAATTACTGCAACTTTATATTTTATAATCAAACATTGTTAGGTAACCTTAAGCTCTTTTGTGTTTGATTTAATTGAGCTTCTTCAAAATTCATTAAATAAATTATTTGCAAGGTGATTTAAGTTTGGTTGATGTAATTAATGTGTATGATTATAAATATAATGAATTTGTTAACTTGATATTAATATAAATGGTTGTATCAGGGTGTAAAGCTATTGATCAGCCCTCTATTATGTGATTGATTGGTCACCTTAGAAATATATTCAACAACTGTGGTTTGATTTTCCTAATAGCGTTAATAGCATATTGATTTGTCCTTAAAAGACAAGCATTATATACAATTTGTTCCCTTGAATCTGTGACAAGAAATAGTGTGTTCCTTTTGTATCCGTGACTAGAAATAATGTGTTCCCTTGTTTTGTTTTTAGGGATAAGGGACTTGAAATTGTACTTGTGTGCAATATGATTGTGAAAAGCTGTGTCTTGGTTGTAGCTTGTCTTGGTTGAAGCTTTTATCTATGATGCTAAATTGCTAATTAGATATTTGACTTTGATGTATTTAAGGATATGCAACATTGTACAACTCTTGCTATAATGCTACATCCTTCTGAGGACATAATCCATATTAGCTTTAGCACATTATTTTGTTTAAGTATAGGAAATGGTCTTAAATTGCACAAAATTGTATAGAGTATGAAGTGACTTCTGTCCTAGATTCTCCCTAATTTTATTTAAGGATTGGGTAGTTTGGTGGAGTCCTACAGACCTGCAGTAACATAGTGCCTTATCCATGTTTAAAAGTTGGATGCTTTTCAGAAATTGAAGCTTATTTTTCAGTTTTTATTGGTAGGATATGTATTGTGACCCCTGCCTTCTCTTTTTGGATGACCAATATCTAGTTCTAGCAGCAAATGCGATTTCAAAATTAAATTTGATCTTGATTTTAAACATTAAGATCACCATTCTTTGCTGCATACACAGTTGTTTGGCTTCAACACAAATTCTTTGAGATTAATTCTATTTAAAGTATCAGGCAAGATGTAAAATGATGTACTAGAGTTTTACTTAAGAAAATATGTGTGGAACCTATGGGTTATGTTTGCTATTATTTTGGTTATATGGATGTTATATTGGTAATTTTTTTTGGTGATTGGTAAGCTTTTATCCATGATGCTAAATTGCTAATTACAGCTGTGATGTTCTTCCTGGATTGTCAGGTTTGTATTCCCCACAAGGTTAAAAATAGAAAACCATGAGAACGAAGTCAGTTGTGCGGTCAAAGAGCTGGAAACATTTGGTGGTGAGCTAGTGTTATGAACTGTTTTTGTAATTATATTCTGTAGTTGAATGTGGTTTTTGAATTCTGAAATTGATTTGTGATATTGACAATAGGATCCATCCAAGTGTCAAAGGATCCATCGACTTCTAAGCCTGGTAAACGGGTGACTGAAGTGAAGGTGAAGAAAAACTCAAAAAGGATGCCAAAGCAACCCAAGACCAAGACGATGTGAATGATGAAGAATACAATAGTAATGGTCAACATTCCGATGAAGATAGTGAAGAGGAGTCGTGCAAACCCGCTGAGTTCATGAAGATGATGATGGGGTTCATGAAGAGTAAGAGTAAGAAGAGGAAAAGGCAAAAGGTATAGTGAATGTTATTTTATATTTTGCTAGAACCCGCAACTACTTTCTAATACTGAATCACTTTGTTTTTTTGATGTGTATGGGTGTAGGGTGAAATAACTGAAGGGCAAAGGGTAGTGAGCGAAGGGGTGGTGTTGAAGACTCACTATGAGAATGTAGGAAAGGTATGATGAGCAGTTAAATTTTTTTGGTGTTAGGTCTGTTGTTGTCCGTTGTTTTTCATAAGCATGGCCTTAATCTTGAAGGGTTTGGAAAGTATCTCTTTGGGGATTTTAATCCTCCTGTTTCTCCCGAACTTGGGGTAAAATTTTACCTTGATTTTTTCTAATTTTGCCTTTTGAGGTAGAATTATTATATTGGTATTGAAATTTGTGAATGATATGATGTTGATGGTTTAGTTTAATGGGTTGGATTGAATTTTGGATTTTGGTTACCCAATTGGGGTGAAATTTTCTCTTGGATTGTGTTTCTTAAATTGTAATGACTTTCTTCATTCTGTTGTGGTGCCCAGTAAGCTATTGCAATTGATGAAGCTAGCATGTTTAGACTAGAATATGCATATGCATATTTCTATGTGAAGTAATTAAATTTAGTCACATTGATGGTTGTAATGTAGTTTTGTTCTTGAATGGGTAAATCTTCTGTTCTTTTCTTTTGTAAATTTCATTTGCCTTTTTTTCTAACTGATGATCATGCCTGGTTTCCTTATATACTGCATTATATCTTTTGCCACCTTATTTGTGGAGTGACATTGTTTTTTTGAATTAATCTAATATTTATAAGTGATGTCTGCATGGTAATGAGTATAGTATGCTTGTAGGGTACTTATGTATAGTTTGTTTTTTGTGTGTAGCAGTACCCCAACATTGTTTGAAGGGTTGAATCCTTCTGCCAATCAGTCTTTGTATTTGATTCAAGAAGACGCGAGTTAGTGACAGAAATGGGTTTTAAAGGTCTCCTGGATCTTGACATGACAAATATACCGAGGCAATTTTGCTATTGGTTGATGACAAGAGTGCTTCCTGATGGCACCATGGTGTTTGACAACAGGGAAATTTTACCTTTAGGTCCTGCTCAAGTGAGCTCCGTACTTGGGTTACCTATGGGTGCTCAACCAGTCCCTTTTGATGTTGTTGACAATGATGAGGAGCAGGTGCAGAGGTTGCGTAGGATTTTTGAGTTGTACGGGGTTGGTGCGAACAAAGAAACCATATCCTTGAAATCTGCTTTGGATGCTTTATGTCCACTGGATGATTCTGGTGACCCGTTTCCCCTTGCAGATGAAGTTGAAGAGGAGTATTTCATGACAGCCTTTCTACTTGTAGCCCTTGGAAAAGTGGTTTGTACCACCACTAATAATTCAAACTTTCCAAAGTCACTCATTCCAGCATTGACAGTGGCTACTGAGGCTATCAAGTATGACTGGTGTTTGCTGACTTTCGAATGGCTATGCGACACGGCTAAAAGATTTCAAAGGAAGTTCCAGAAAGATGGTTATAGGTCCTTGTTGTGGGGGCAGTTTTCTGTTTGTTATGGTGAGCAATAGTGGCTTTATTTTGATCATTACAATTTAGTTGTAAAAAACTAAAACTAATTAGTTATGTGTTTTTTTTTCTTGTAGATTTTTTTATCTAGATCACTTGCACCGTGTTCCCGTGTAGTGGGGCGTTTACCTGAGGGTCAAGGTGTGGAACAGTGGTGAGGTGAAGGCAGCTGTTATCGAAGATAAAGTGGCTAGCAGCGAGTACGGCAAGCTGTTGGTAAGAAATGCGCAGGATAGTTTATTTTATTTAATCTACGGGTTGATGATTGGTTATCTAAATCAGTATTTTGAAATTGTAGGCCGTCGATGTTGCGTATGGGGAGGAGCATCCCCTAGTCCCAAGGGAGAGTTCTGGTGTTAATAAGAAGGGCCAACTATCAGGGGATCATGCTTTTGTGGATGATGTCGTGGACCGGGTATGTTTATTATTTCAGTCTTTTGGTTAATATTCAAATGTCATTGGTTCAATATGTGGTTATGGTTTTGGTTGTGGAAAAATGTTTGGTTCAGGTACTAGCTCAGTTGAGCACAAGGCTGGTCAGTGTGGTTGAGAGATGTTGCCCGTACTGTGAACAGTGGCTACGATTCAAAGTTGACGAAGACTAACCCGGATCAATTTGAGGAAGATGTGCACACTATATTGACTGCCAAAGGCAGCAACCCGCGTACCAGCACGACAATTGAAAATGTCCAGCACATAAAAAAAAAATCCCGAAGCTGAAGAAATCCAAGGCAAAGACTTTTCATTATCTGCAGACTCAATTGATGGAGTTGGTTTCTTAAACTTTGCAAAAATTAAAAACAAGAATGATCCCACGGACAAGCGGCTGTTGACCATCCTTCGAGGGTGGAAGGAATTGAAGGATGCAAACATGTAAGACTAACTTCTCGTTAAAGCTTTCTTTGATTTTATAATTGAATTCACTCTTAGTTTGTCATTTTGATTCTTGTTTTGATTAATTCTATGAATTTTTGTGCATTTAGTCCCAGGCCATCGGTAATTGAATGTGGGGGCAGGGATGCAACTCAGAGGGATTGCTATCAGGTTGTTGTTCCTAGAGCCCGTGTTGGTGATCAATATGTGCGGATGGCAGTCGTGATGTACGCATGAGCTTTTTGGGACAGAGAAGAGGATTATGTTAGACCCTACATATGCGATAACTGTTACAAATAAAGATTCTGCTTGTTTTGAAGTTATAAATTATGGCTCTAATTATTCGGTTCCTTGTATATGATGCTGAACTTGGGGAAGAAAGACTACAAGGATTTGGCGCGGAAGTACGCGAAAGCCTTCCTCGGTATCCCTGTCAGCCAGATAAGATGTGTAAGTGTCCACAATTGTTTTTCATACATTAGGTACTTTCAGGTGTACACCATAATGTTTATCTGTACTTGTTGTGTTTATTAGGTTTTCTTCCCAGTCCTAGAATGGACAGTTGATAATGCTGAACATTGGTGGTGTCTAGCCTTTGATGTCAAGGCTCAACAAATGTGTATGATTGACTCATTGTACCCTGATCCTTATCAAGCACATGCTGGGGTTGTTAGTGAGCTCGTAATGTTATAGTTCTTGTAGAAGTTGCATTTTTAATGTGTTGGGTATAATCACTTGAATATTGGTTTGGCTGACAACGCAGGTTAAGGATTTTGATGTCATGGTGCAGTTGAGTGATCCGTTGTGAGAATTAGGCCAAATTGAAAAATGGGCTAAGAGAGTATATCCGGTTAGGCAGCCCGATAAGTAAGTTATGGCCATTATTTGTTCATACTTTTTCTATAGGGATAGTTAGTGTTGTTTACCTGATTGCACAAGTGCGTAGCAATTTTTAATAATTTGAGTATAATGTGTTGTTAGGACGTAAAGTAGGTTATCATGTTTTTGCATTGTTATTATCAAGAAATTAATGAATTTCATGATACTTGTTTAGCTTCTCCTGCGGTGTGTACATGCTTGCATGCATCAAAGTTTGTGCTCATAAGTTTGACACACCATTTGCACTGGTATGTTTCCATGCTTTGTAGATGTCATATCCAAGACTTTTGTAGAGTGGAAAACTAATTTCAGACAACATGTTGTCAAGAAAAGATATCTAACATTAGGCAACTCCTATTCTTGTACGACGCACATAACGAATTCAATAACATCAAAGGACTATGGGAGGATGACAGGATCTAGTCGTATCACCTAATCAAAAGTAATTACCTAAGTCCTCTAACTAAAGTAGATAGGGAAATAGGGTCGAATCCACAGGGAAACAGTGTTCTTCTATTCCTAGTCAACAATTATAATCTAAATTATTAAGTAACCAAATTTGCGTTTGAAGGAATTAAACTAATAACGAACTAAGCAAATGAAATAGTGGAACAATCAAAATTAAAAAGATTTAGGGTATAGGTTTACCAATAAATAATACTCCAGGGTAAACATAACAATCAATTATCAATGCATAAATTAACCAGATTATAAAGGGATGTCGCTACGTATTATAATCATATAATTAATCTACTGGTATTAAATCTCATCTCTCGAATCTCGACCTAACCATTAATAGATTAACATGCCTATTAAAACTAAGCCTGAACATCAATTCTCATCTATCGAATCTCGAATCAATATTGCATGACTCATACAATTAAATCAGGCCTAATCTAATTGCATAGTATTAAATCAATCAATAGGAAATTAACCAATCATCAATAATAAATAATAATAAATTACCCCATCGTATTATTCGTGGATCCCCACAACCCTAAAAATAAGTCTACTCACTCATAAATAAAACTAAGCTAAACATAATAATTAAACAAGACATGATTAAATCAAAGCAATTAAATTACTGAAAGTAAGGAGGGAAGAAATCGTTACCAAAATTAAAGGAAATAATGAATTGCATAAATCAAGAGTGTGTAGAGAGAAAAAGTGTAGAGAGAGAAAGTAAGAGAGAGAGAGAGAGGGAGAGAGAAAGAGGAAAGTAAAGAAAAGTCGTCCGTGTCAAAGACGCCGCTAAACTCACTTAACAAAAGCGTATTTATACTAAACTATAATCCTAAATAAAGAAAAAGAGGAACGAAAATAAAAAAATCCTAAATAAAACACGCGCCCGGTCGGGCGCGCCTTTTTCTTCATTAATGCTTGCTCGCGCCCAGTTGGGCGAGCCTTTGCCCGGTCGGGCGGATGCTTGGGCAGCCCTTTTCTTCTTCTTTTCAATTGGGCTTCACACTTCTTCGCCCAAAACTAAACTTCTTCATAGGTCCAACTTGCCCGAGCTCCTATTCACTTCATCGAGCCCTTAATCACCGGATTGATTCCTCAAATACGGTCCTGGGCTTCGGAATACGATTATAGAAATGCGTCTCGTCTCCAATGCTCGCGGTGGCTCCACTAAGTGCCGAAAAATGTTCCAAATCTGCAGTTTCCTGTAGAATAATTCCACAACTACGAAAACACTTGAAAACGCATATTAGTAATAAAATTGGCTCTAAAGAGCCAAAAATACTCCTAACTATGATCACGGGACGGGGATAAAATATTATATATAATGAATATATCAAACTCCCCCAAGCCAAACCCTTTGCTTGTCCCAAAGCAAAGAGCTCATCAATGAATAAATAAAACATTCTTCACCCCAAAAATCAATCAAAACCAAGCATAATCGATTCAGGGCAAATCCAACAAATATGCATCAAAATTAACCAATCAAATCCATCTAACCACTCATCCTTCCTAACAATTGTCAAATAGAGCAAACCACAAGAGCATATAGAATTCAAGATTAGTACTCACTCACTCAACTCTCATTTATGTGGCAGATATAAAATGTATCCGTCGCTCTCCATCCAACTCCTTTAATGTGAACAATGCCCTCCCAAACTCAGAACACTCGTGTGTTTAAGAAAACAAACACTCAACCTAGTAGTCGACTCGGAATATGTCAAATCATTCATTGCATTCATAAACAACTAATTTCACATCCATACAACTCTATGCACAAAGGTCGGAATGTCTTTAAAGCTTATAACGTAAGGTTAGGGTAAAAGGTAGGATAAATTTGGGAAAATGTGAGAGTAAAGCCATGCTTAAGGGAGCCAATCCTAATAAATAAAACTAAGGTCAAAATTAAATAATGACCAACTCATCTCCAACACAACTCAACTCTAACAAAAATTCACCAAACAACCAATTACAATAAAAATTCCCAACACTTACAATTTCACTCATTCAAATATGATATTATAGAATTTGAGTGATCAACAAACTTTGAACTCTTTTTTTTTTCTTTTGATTTTTTTCTCTTTTTTTTTTCTCTTTTCTTTTCAAGCCACCTTCATTAAAACACTTGAACATCAAAACAATTTTTTTTTCTTTTGCTCTTTTTTTTCTTTTTATCTCACTTGGAATTTTTCAACTTTGAACAATAATTTTTTCAATTTTTTTTCCAATCCACTAAAATAAGAACAAATAAATAACTTCTCAAATCCACCCACATTGTGCAAATTATGAGCACACTACAAACTCCCTCACCTCACTCACTAAAAGCTCCCCCAAGCCAAGCTTGAGACTAGTAACCAATGGGGCAAAATAGGCTTGTAATGTGGCTAAATAAACAATGAAAGGATACAAGCAACAACATGGGTAGCAAGAAGGGAAAAATGTATCTGAAGGTCACCTAAAAGAACAAATGTCTTCGTCCTCCTCAATGTGCATAATAATGAGTCATATAAACATTACTAAGAGTTATAAACCAATACTCAAATTCATTGACATACCAGGAACTAACACATATTCCTAACCAAATCAACTAGTCAAGCACTATATTCACTGGTAGTTGGACAAAATTGACTCATGTTAGGGCATCCAAGCAATCAAACATCAAATCATGGTAACCTATCCACAATATTCATCATCATATACCAAGAATCAAAACAATTTTCATGTCTAGGGCACAAGGGAAGCATGATTTATCGTTCATTGGAACGTATTTTTTGAATTTTTTCTTAATTTTTTTTTTCAAAGCAATAAAATCTAAACTATAAAGCAATAAAATAAAAACTAAACTAAGCACACCAAAGAAAATAAAAAATAAAAAGGAAAGAAAGAAAACCTATATATACAAGAAATTCCCCCCAAGCCAAACCAGACAATACCCTCATTGGATCAAAGGGAAGAAAGTAACCCAGACGATAACCCCTCATCATTAAAATCGTATCCACCACCATCCCAAGCATTGCAATGCATCACCTTGGTACAATTCTGGACAAGAAAGAAGCAAAATGTTAGTAAGAGAAGAGGTAAAAACGAGTCAGCTTCACTATTTCAATCATAACTTTTTTTATACAAATGATAATACAGTGATTTCAATTGCATTGGAAAATAGACTTGAAGATCTTTCCAACAATATGTCACACGCAAAATTCCGTTAAAAAACGCAAAAGTTATGGTGTTTTGAAGTTGGCCAGTTTTGCTGTCACGCTCTCGCGCCCGGTCGGGCGAGACTTTGCCCGGCCGGGGGCGCCTCCGGGCGAGTTTAACACTTTTTTCGACCTTTGGGAGAATTTTGGGCGAAAATCCTCTTTTCTCTCGCGCCCGGTCGGGCGCCATCTCGCCCGGTCGGGCGAGATTACTCGTATACGGACTTCTTCTCGCGGTCGGTCGGGCGGGTTCTGGCCCCGTCGGGCGCCTTACAGCACTTTGAGTCCGATTTTTATCAATTTGTACCTTTTTCTCCACTTGTTCCTCTTCAAACCCAAGCCCTACACAATTTAGAGCCCTTTCTATAGCATCCACTTCATCCTTCCATGTAGTGGCTTTTCCTGTGAAAGATGTAACACAAAATACCGCCTCCAAGGGATCTCTAACGAGAGCTTGGGGCTTATTAGAAAAATTATTTACATCAATACGATAGCACTTTTCTTTCAACATGGGGCTTTTAGAGGCATTATGTAGATTAAAAATAATATTTTCATCCCCTACACATAACGTCAGTTTACCACTTTTTACATCTATTATTGCCCCTGTAGTATGAAGGAATGGTTTACCCAAAATAATCGGAATTTGCAAATCTTCCTCCATATCAAGAACAACAAAATCAACAGGTATATAAAATTTACCTACTCTAACAGGTACATCCTCTAAAACACCTAAAGGATATTTAAGAGAACGATCGGCCATTTGCAGAGTAATATTGGTAGCTTTTAATTTACCCGTATTTAATTTAGAGCTCACAAATAGTGGCATAACACTTACACTAGCACCCAAATCACATAAAGCTTTTTCAATCATCAAATTTCCAATGTGACAAGGAATAGGAAAACTACCCGGATCTTTTAGCTTAGGTGGAGATTTATTCTGTAGTATAGCACTACATTCCTCAATAAAAGCAACTGTCTCTACCTCACTAATAGATCTTTTTCTGGTTAAGATCTCTTTAATAAATTTAGAGTATGCAGGAACTTGAGTAATTAATTCTGTAAAAGGAACTGTTACCTGCAAATTCTTGACAACCTCCAGAAACTTACCAAACTGTTTATCCAACTTACTCTTAAGATGTCTATTTGTGAATGATAGTTTGATAACTGGTTTCTTTACATCCCCACTTTTGTCTTGATTTTTATCCTTCTTTGGAGTTACACCCTGCAATGTATCATCAAAAATGTTAGTTTTACTCTAGAGCCCTGCAGGGCTAGTAACAACAATATTTGGTGTAACAGAATCATGATTAGCAATTTTTGTAATTATAGGTTCATCATCTTTGGGCATAGGAGGCCCATCGTAATGTGAACCACTTCTCAGCGTAATTGCATTCACGTGATCTGTAGGTTGCACCGGCTGTGATGATAGGGCTCCCTGCTGGCGAGTTTGTAGAGCAGAGGAAAGTTGCGCAATTTTATTGTCTACGATTTTATTATGTGCTAAAAGTGAATCAATTTGTGCA